GACCCAACCTTGGGTAATATTAACTACAACTTTACACTGTAGCTAGGAATTATATTCTCATGTGTGTCAGTGTCAGAATGTTATCTCCTGACCACAGACTGTAGAGGCCAGCGAACGGGGAACTTAGCATCACACCTGAGATTAGTTTCCCTGAGCTGGACCGTAGGTCGTAAATGTGACCTAACACAGACTTTTGATGAGACTAGATCAGGGGAATTGAGTGGACTCTAGAAGTTGTGGCGACCAGAGGTTGAAGTTTAACACGTCAGTGTAATTCTCGGGAGAACAGATGTTTGCCAATTAGGAATGTTTGATCTTGGTCAAGTAGGAAACACAAGGGCTTCACTGACCGTCTTTTAACACCTGCCAGTTAGATTCGTTGTAAACTAGATTGGGTCACTTAAGAATGTTCGCTCTAGGGATGTCAGTCCAGAATTGACTGACAGGCCACTTGTTAGCTAATTTGATCTGATAGGTACTTCAGAGGCGTGGCTTAAGTCATCGTCTTGAGGGTTGGGTAGAACCGAGTAAAGGGAGGAGTTTAACCTTTGAGACAGTTAGATTGTATACTTCGAGCCTTTGGAATTCCCGTCACATCGCAGCTAGCAAGCAACAAACACAGGTCGACGTAAAGGTAATTTTACGGTCGGATTCTGGTTTGGCGATTGATGGAAAGTTCCCAGGTGAATATTAATTTTAATCTTCTATATATAGGTTAGGGAGTTAAGCTTAGTCTATACTACCTTTTCCTAATTTGTCTGCACATTCTGCTTGAAATAGTTCTTGGTGAGTATTCAGTATCTCAGTTAGGGAACTGCTAAACTATTCCTATTTCTTGTATGTTTGTGTCACATGTTTTTCAGTGTACGTTTTCATGTGTATAAAATAAGATGTGAACAATGACATTTGATATAATGAAATGTAATTATATTGTTTCCACCATCAACCAAAATATGAGTTTGGACTCTGGGAAATGATGCCCAAATATGTGCAGGGATGCTGTTACGTATGTGTGCCCACCATGTGCTCACTTAATGTGTTCACCTAAACAGGGGATTTATAACCCCAGGGGAAGAATGATGGGTGTATAGAATTCACGGTCACTGAAAGATAATATTCAGGACAGCGTGCACCTATAAATTGTTTGCGTGTTCAGCACATAACCTGTGCCACATGTTTATGTCAAATCAATGTCAGCCAGTTGGAAGTCTGAGTGATGATGGACAACAGACTTAGAAAGTCAACTATCATGACATAGCTTGAGAGGGAAGGCAAGATATGTGACGTCCATGTAAGACAAAAGACCTTCAGACTAGACTAGAGAGAATGTGAAATATGAGGAGGAGTGATGGGATATATTTGATTATTCTATGTTATATTAATTAATACATGTATTCTTAGTGTAAGCCAAGATACTACACGTATGTGTTTGTTTCCATGATTACAGCGCCCATGTGACGATCAGTCCATGAAAGAGACTACATTGTGTTAGACTCGGCCAGCTGAGAACGATGTGGAGAACGAGGTGGGGATGAAGTGGAGACTAAGCTGAAACAGGCAGAAAACAAGCAGGGAAGAAGCTAGAAGAGGAGGAAGAGCTTGACAGTGCTCACGGCTGTCAGAGGTTCTATGATAACTAAGTTATGTCATAAATTGTTCATACGTTATCACCTTCATCACTCCATTCTAATCCCAGGTGCTGTTTTCTCACTGAAGCATCTCATCACTATCATAACTAACCAGTCACTGTTTGTGTAAACACAACAAACTGGGAAACTTTATTTAAATCATTGTTAGTAAATAAAGCTGTATGTCAAGTTTTATACTACATCGTTTGTTAAATTCCAAGTGTATTCAGTCTTACCTGTTTAACTAAACTGATAGATAGAATTACATTTGGTGGGAGCTCAATAAATATTATAATAATTCTTTAATTATTCATAATAACACCGGGAGAAGGTTGAAGACGGAGGAATCATTTGCCCTGTCTAATAATTCATTAAGTATAATGCTATAGACATCTAAAATTCCTTTCCTTCTCTTGTGGGTACCAAGTTCAGCTATTGTTAATGTACTTAACGAGCCAATATGACTGTTTTCTTGGATATCCAGGACTTTGTCTGAGAGCAACATAGCTCAGATTTTAGTTCGGTTAATCTGGTGGAGGGAATGTGTTGAGAGGAAAATCCCTACTCAACATTATAAACATTTAATCCACCGCGTCACGTCACACCCACTCTCTGGCGAACAGTTTCCCAGGCGAACCCAGCTCCCTGGCGAACATAATTTCCCAGGCGGACCGAGTTGCCCAGGTTGACCCAGTCGACCATGATACAGTAAGTAAGGCTAATGTCCTAGTGTGAACCGTACCTTCTTCTAGGGGTATGTTTTTCATCTTTTAGTGCTTGCCGTATTTTATATCTTGGTCTAACTCTGCCTCTCTTCCCCTGCAACTTTCCCCCACCGTCATGATGTACCCTAGTTGTCTGCTTGTTATGAGATGAGCACAGGAAGTAGTAGATTGTCTGATTATGAGATGAGCACAGGAAGTAGATTGTCTAATTATGAGATGAGCACAGGAAGTAGATTGTCTAATTATGAGATGAGCACAGGAAGTAGATTGTCTAATTATGAGATGAGCACAGGAAGTAGATTGTCTGATTATAAGATGAGCACAGAAAGTAGATTGTATGATTCTGAAATGAGCACAGGAAGTAGATTGTCTAATTATGAGATGAGCACAGGAAGTAGATTGTCTTATTATAAGACGAGCACAGGAAGTAGATTGTATGATTATGAGATGAGCACAGGAAGTAGATTGTCTGATTCTAAAGGGCCTCCTTTTTCTAAAGGGATGGTAGAATACACAAATGTAGGTTTAAGCGATTGTCCGTCCTTGTCCCAACGATTGAGTATCCTATTGTACTACCCAAGAGTTTAACTAGACAAGAGACTAGACAATCATAGGAGACAAATTGTTCTGGTGATTTAAAGCTAATTTGTTTGGGGATTCGAACTCTTTAACGTCAAAGTCTGGAGCGGACACTCAGAGACAAGGGGTGAATGACAGTGTTTTGGCTTTTCCATATGGTCACCTACGTGGACAGAGATTATATAGATATTTGGGAAGTGCTAATAACAATCAGTGGCAGTTGCTGATCATTTTGCTGTACATTCTGACTGCTTCTTGTAGGTAAACAGTCGGTGCAGGTAACAGTTGTCATCAAAACAGTTGTCATCAAAACAGTTATCACCAAAACAGTTGTAATCAAAACAGTTGTCATCAAAACTGTTGTCAATAAAACAGTTGTCATCAAAACAGTTGTCATCAAAGCAGTTGTCATCAAAACAGTTGTCATCAAAACAGTTGTCATCAAAGCAGTTGTCATCAAAGCAGTTGTCATCAAAACTGTTGTCATCAAAACAGTTGTCATCAAAGCAGTTGTCATCAAAACAGTTGTCATCAAAACAATTGTCATCAAAACAGTAGTCATCGAAAAAGTTGTCATCGAAACAGTTGTCATCGAAACAGTTGTCATCGAAACAATTGTCATCGAAACAGTTATCATCAAAACAGTTGTCATCGAAAAAGTTGTCATCGAAACAGTTGTCATCAATTCTGTCTTCTAGAGCTTTTACTCAACAAATCATGACGTGATCAATGTTTGCTGTTGTTTTACACGTATATTGTGTTTATGGCGGCTTTTCGTTTAAATTGCTTTATTGCGTCTTTGTCTGATTATTTTTTAAAAATGCTATCAAATAAAATTATTCACAACAGATGTGACCCGAAACCTGGAAGCTCATGTGTCTTTACCACCCGCCCCCAAACACACATACACACACATACACACACACACACACTCACACACACACACACACACACACACAGATACCTACAAGTGTGTATGAGGCACTGATGCCCCCCCCCCCCCCACCGCTCCCCGCCCCCCCCCCCCTTTTTTTTTGGTCCCACTTTCCCCTCTCCTCAAACTTTTTTTCCCTTTAAAGAATCGACAATTTCAAAAAATGATAAATGCCCTTTTTCACTACCCACATCCCCTCCCTTTTCCCATCCACCGTATGTCAAGTAATAGTATAGAGCCATTGTTCACGCCTTCAGGCCTGTTAGGTGTGCAAGACTAAACCGATGATTTTTACACCAATCGGCAGTGGGTGGGTGATAGGGTCACCATCACGCTTGCCGCCTTTACTTCCCAGGACCTCACCAGGTACCCACTGAAGGCTGTGTCGACATGAGAGCCTTGGTCATTTTGGAAACAAGTCTGGCTCTGTCAGGAACCGAATCCACGACATAACGATCCTCAGGCTAGCCTTTATCTGCCTCACCACGTCGACTCTCACCAAATGTAGAAATGATCTGTTTAATTATTTTTCGACACAGTAAATATTATTTATTATTATGAAAGTTGCTATTAACAATATTATTATTACTGTGCACTGAAACAAAATTGAGTCTCCTTGAACCCATTCCCCCTCCTCTAGAAAATTCCCCTTCCCAATGTTGTCTTTGTGTCGGCTTCCAAAAGGGCTGCACCGTGCACAGACACAGACAAGCGACCGCATAAGGCGGCACCGAAAGGGGCGGCAAAAGCAGTGAAATCGAAAATACAATTTGAACTTTTGATCTGACTGACTTTCTACCCCACCAGGACATCACACAAGCGATAAACACTCGATGACACAAAGTGCCACCATGCGGATGAGGATCGCCGTGGAGAGGTCCCAGAAACCGCGTTCAGACATTTGGCCATATGTATGGCCTGCCTATATTGCGGCCCCTGGCAAAAGCCAGAGTAGGGCTTCAAATGACAAAAAATTTCGTCCTAAAAAGGACGAAACTGGATATAATATAGACTGGATTCCCTCGCATTGTTACTTTATTAACCTCCACTAGAAACAGAATTGGACAGGCAAAAACTGCATTTTATAAAATGAAAAACATCTTGTGCAATATATCCTTGTCATTGAGAGTTATAAAAAGAATTATTGCTTGCTACATACATCCAGTTTTAACATATGGATGTGAATCCTGGACAATCGGTAGGCAGGCCAAAACAATTTTTAGAGGCCTCAGAGACGTGGTTTTACAGAAAAATGCTTAAAATACCTTGGACAGCCAAAAAGAGCAACCAAGAGGTTTTAAAAGAGGCGGGAGTCCGAAAACAACTTATCACAGACATCAGAAGGAGACAGTCATCATTTTTGGCCATGTTATGAGAAGAGGGAAAATAGAACATGTTGTGACCACTGGAAAGATCTGTGGAAAAAGGGATAGAGGAAGACAACGAGAGAAGATGCTTGACAGTCTTGTCGCATGGCATGGAGGTGTGTCGGCACCCGAACTGATACATGCTACAGGAGATCGCAGATTATGGAGAGGCAGATCGCCCACGCCAGTTGGCAAGGCGCCTGATGATGATGATGACTAGAAACCTATGTTGCTGTTTATCATTCCCTTGCATTGTTACTTTTTTAACTTCTACAATTGACCTCTGTTGCTGTTTATGTTCATACCCATGCATGGTTACTTTGTTAACGTCCACCATAGACTTCTGTTGTGTTTTTTTTTTTCCTGAAATTGTTTGAATAGTTCAGACAACACTAAATTTAAGTTAGATGTAAACAGTGTCTTTAACTTACCACTTGATACCAGTACAAGGAGATAAAGACAAAATGCCTTTATATATTTATTACACTGCAGTAAATCACGTATTGAATTGACAAGCCACGCCTCCGGCCACGCCTCCAGCCACGCGCCCAGTGGCCACCTAATGTAAGTGACAACGTTAAAATTCACATCCGTTAGTTTGCACCTATCACTTGATAGCTAAGGTGGTCAGACCATGGCCAAACTTTAGTACAGACAGACAGACAGACAGACAGACAGACAGACAGACAGACAGACAGACAGACAGACAGACAGACAGACAGACAGACAGACAGACAGACAGACAGACAGACAGACAGACAGACAGACAGACAGACAGACAGACACACACATACATACATACATACACACAAACACACACACACACACACACACAAACATACATACACACACACATACATACAGACAGACAGACAGACAGACAGACAGACAGACAGACAGACAGACAGACAGACAGACAGACAGACAGACAGGCAGACACCCCCCCCACCCACCCACCCATCCATCCATACATACATACATACATACATACATACATACATACATACATACATACATACATACATACATACATACATACATACATACATACATACATACATACATACATACATACATACATACATACATACATACATACATACATCTGCACCTACAGACACATTTACACAGATACGCAGATACGCACACCGACACGCACAAACACACAGACATTGACACACAGACATACACACAGTCACACACGCAGAAATACACACATATACACACTGACACAGACACACACACACCTACATACACACACCAACACAGATACACAGATACAAATACACATAAGAACACTCACTCATACATACACATGCATACATATACATACTCAGCTCTAGCTTATAGATCAAAAAGGTTAGTTACGTATCCTTTACAGGACGTTGCAGAACCAACCCCAGCAGCCCCTGGCTGTTGTGTGGTTTCTCTAGGCAAATGTACGTCCAGTGGTTTGCATGGCCAGCAGCTGGGATCGAACTCGGTACCTCGTCATTACGAAGCGTTCGCATCGACTTAGCCACAGAGCCGACTAGCTTATACATACATTCTCATATATACTATACATACACAAACACCCCAATATACATAATTACCCATTCACACACTCATACACAGAATCGTACACACGCAAAAATGCCTACACATAGGTACATGTCATACATATACATGTCACACATACACGCATACATACATTTCATACACACTTCATCTAATTATAGATTGATAATGCAACATGGATGATTGACTACTTTTAAGGTGGCATGAAATCACTTGTAAGCATGAACTGAAAAAGTGTGAGGTTCACTGAAGGGCAACTCAGTAATTTTCAGATCAAGTGGGAGAGTGTTCCGTAAGTAAATTTGTTTTACATACATCTTTTCTAGGTTTAGGCAAATGTGATAAACTTTTGGTCGCTTATTGTTTCGTAAACCAGGACATCTACAGAGCGACAGACACCTGGTGGCACATAGTGCCACCATACGGATGAGGATCACCAGGTTGAAGGCGGTTTCTGGGACCTTTCCACCGGTGATTATCATCTGCATGGTGGTACTTTGTGCCACTGGGTGTTTATTGCTGTGTGTGATATCCTGTTTGGGTAAAAATTTACTTACCTACTGCTTGTTGTTCGTAGGACTGGTTTTAATTAACTGAAAAAGGTAGTCTGGAGTGTCTTAAGATAATATTTTATGAACAAATTTAGCCTTGTTAAAAAATTAAACGTTTACTTAATGGCAAAAGTTTTAGATAGCTATAGATATGATTTTTATTGGTATGTTTTGTATCTGAAACCTGGCTAAAGCGTAATTTTGAAGGGAAAGTAGTCTTTTAACATTCCAAACTGGGAAGAAACAGACATGTGTCTGGATGTAGGACGTGTAGAATAGTTTGGGTATATCTTCATCTAGAAAGTGCTGAATTTTAGCAAGCTGATTAACGTTTTGTGCTCTTTTCTTAGTTATGACATAAACATAAGAATCCACTTGTATTAAGTCATGTTTTGTGTTCCGTTTGTTAGGAATAGGTAATTTATCAATGTAGCGCTTAAGTGGTAGCTTGTGCAATGCTAATGATGGTAATTTTTCTCTAGTTGTTGTAAACATAGATTTAGTTTTATTTATGCTAATTTGCATGCGATTGCTGTTGCTCCATTCGCAAAGATTATCTTTTCCTTTTTTCTGTAAAAATGTTCCCAGTTCATTACA